TTGTAATCCCCGCGGGTTTCCCATCACCAAGTCACCCCTGTGCCCTGCTGGAACTCGGTTCCGCCTCGAGTTCCCCCCCCACCCCCCCACCCCTGCCCCAGAGAATGGAGGGGGGCTTGGAGGGGGGCAGCAAGGATCAGAAAGAATTACTTAAAGAAAAACAAGTGTGCAGCTTTGCATTATTTCATTTAAACATTTTAAAAGTGTAGAGAAGATGCTGGCCACTCAAAAGTAATTTTTAGCCAAAGTGGCCTGTTAAAGTCTGTGGTACATGAACCTGTTGTCCCCACTCCTGTTCCAGGCCACAGGCTTTGGTCATGTTACAGATTTAGGAAGTAGTGCTTTTGTGAAAATTTTTTAAAGATTTATTTTTATTGGGCCCACCCTGTGGCGCAGTGGGTTTAAGCGCAGAGCTATGAGGCTATCAGAGGCCTCTGCAGCATGAGTTCAATCCCCGGCCAGGGAGTAACCCACAGGGCACAGCAGACCTCTCCTGTCTCCCCACTGCTCCCTTCAGCAGTGGATTTCAGTCAGTCCCCCTGTTCTGCTCCCCACTCTGTCTCTGCACCCTCTCACCCCCGCACCTTTGGTCTGTATCCGAGTTCTTGTCTGCATCAATAAATAAATCTTTAAGACAAAACCAAAAACCCAGTGGCTTAAGCAGCCATCTCTGGAGGTGAGGGGACGAAATTCATGTCACTGGGCCGCAGCCAAGGTGTTGGCAGGACTCGATCCTTTCTGGATGCTCCTGAGAAGCTCTTCCTTGCCGGCTTCTGCGACTGCCTGGGCCTCCGCCTCTGTGCTGCCGGCAGGGTCTGTGGAGTCCTTCAGCACGGCCCTCTGGCCCCCACCCTCTGGCCGCGCTCGTTCCCTTTTAAGAGCCTTGTGATCCCACTGTGCCCACAAGATGACCCAGGGTGATCTCCCGTGTGAAGGCCAGCAGCTGGCACACAGCCTGGCACGCCCCCAGGCGCGGGGCTCCAGACTGGCCACGTTGGAGGGTTACCATTCTGTCCCCACAGACATACCCTCTGTGATGGCTGAAGTGAAAGCTTTTCTTATTATTTTTGCCTTGTAGACATTTTTGCTGTGAGCGTTAAGAGTGACGGATCGCTATGGGAGATATTCTGGCTCATGAATCCGAATTGCTTGGGCTAGTGAAGGAGGTAGGTGTGTTGTGCCAAACAGGCCCTGAGAGAGACCTGGGAAGTGCATGAAGCTGCATTTCACAGTGCAGCAGACCTTGGGCCCTTGGGGTGTTTTCTCTACGCTTGCGTCAGCGTTCTCTGTTTTCCACTGTATCACTTTCCGTGTGTTCAGTGTCCCATCACTAAACTGAAATTTTAAAAATTCTTTTAAAGACTCATGAAAACATCCCACGCTGATGCTAAAGGTTTAAATCACCTCAGAGTATAAAGGCGAACAGCCGGGCTCCTGGGGCCGCCCCAGGCGGCTTCGGGTGTGGCCTTTCCAGGCCTTTTCCTGTGAATATTCAATGTGCGCACGTCCGCAGCGTGTTTCCCAAAGTGCGGCGACCGTGCTGTGGCGCGGCGCCTGTCTCTCAGCAGGGACGCGCAGGGACACGCGTCCTCCCGCGTGCGCGTCATGGCCGCGGGATCTCACGGCGCGGCTGCGGCCTGGCGGATTTGCCGCCTGTCTCTGGACGCGTCGGCTTCGCGTGCTGAAGCGC